ATACTAACACATATATATGGAATTTAGAAAGATGGTAATGATAACCCTATATGCAAAACAGAAAAAGAGACACAGATGTACAGAACAGACTTTTGGACTCTGTGGGAGAAAGTGAGGGTGGGATGTTTCGAGAGAACAGCATCAAAACATACATATTATCTATAGTGAAACAGATCACCAGCCCAGGTTGGATGCATGAGATAAGTGCTCCGGCCTGGTGCACTGGGAAGACTCAGAGGGATTGGGTAGAGAGGGAGGTGGGAGGGGGGGATCGGGATTGGGAATGCATGTAAATCCATGGCTGATTCGTGTCAATGTATGACGAGACCCACTACAATGTTGTAGAGTGGTTAGCCTCCAACTGATAAAAATTAATGAAAAAAAAAAAAAAACCCAGAAGGTCAAATATGTAACTCTGAATATTAAATCCAAGCTCTGAGGGCTTTCTGGATTGGTATGTTGGAGAAGGTCATGATAACAAAAGGTTTAGGGCAACTTTCTGAAAGTTTTTCGAGTGAATAATTCAAGGAGCATTCCACTTGCTAATTACTTACCCACACAATTTGCAATAAAACAGGCACTTAGAAGTGACATGAAAAAAATAGCAATGGTCCAAGGGATCAGCTGGGAATGCTGGCCTCTTTCTACTAAAACAAAAAGAAAGATAAATAGGTTATCTTCTTCTCAGCCACAAGAACTAAGGGAACTAATGCCACCGAGGAGAAAGCTTAGAATGAGATCATCCAAAATATTTTAGAGATGTATAGAACAGACTTGTGGACTCTGTGGGTGAAGGCGAGGGTGGGATGTTTCAAGAGAACAGCATCGAAACATGTATATCTAGGGTGAAACAGATCACAAGCCCAGGTTGGATGCATGAGACAAGTACTCGGGCCTGGTGCACTGGGAAGACCCAGAGGGATAGGGTGGAGAGGGAGGTGGGAGGGGGGACCGGGATGGGGAATACATGTAAATCCATGGCTAATTCATTTCAAAAACCACTGCAATGTTGTAAAGTAATTAGCCTCCAACTAATAAAAATAAATGGAAAAAAAAAAAAAGATTTCCCCCGAATAAATCAACTTTAGAGTTCACTGATAAATAAATTAATTAAATAAATATATTTATTTGCAAATAAAATGTATTTCTTTGGGGTTTTTGGGGGGATTAGGAACATGCTTTTTACTAACCAGCCTCAAAGCCCCAAAATCTTTAAAAATTTATAATTGCAGTACATAAAAATCAAAGCTCCTTTATAAACAAATAATGTTAAAACACAAGGAACACATGGAAGAAAAATCTTGTCACAATGCTAATATCTAGAGTGTATAAAGAATTTCAAAAACCAATTTGAAAACTGAGCAAAAATTTGAGCAGAAAATTTGCTGAAAGTATTTCAAAAATCCATTAAACAAACTAATAAACAGCATGCTCAATCAGAGGCATGTAAACCAAAATATTATGGCATGGTTTTGTCATATATCAAATTTTTAAAAGTAAATTGAGAATATGGAGTGTGGCAAGGCCTACAGGAAATAAACACTCAGTGAGGAAATAAATGCCACTACTGAACTATAACTTGGAAAACCTTTTAGAGAGATAAAATTAGGAACACTTATCAAATTTTAAATGCATTACATTTGCCACAATTTAAATTCTAGAGATCAAGCCTATAGAAGCAATTAAACTTATTCCTATAAAATGATATTTACTGCAATAATTTTGGAAATAGAAAAAAAACCTTGAAACCTAATACTTGTATGCATATCATCAAAAGCACTAAATTATGGTGAATTCATATGATGAAATTCTATAGAGCAATTAAAATAATCATGTATACAAGTCTGTATTAACAGAAAGAAGTCTCCAAAACATATTGCTACATAAAAATGTGATTTTCAGTACCATTGTACATCATGACCCCATTAAAATCTGGGTGGAGTGATGAGATGAAATGAAACATTAATTTCAAAAGTAGACATTTCTGCATTCATTCTATATATTTCTCAAAATTATTTTTAATGTTCTTAAAGTATAAACCCATTTACGTGTCACTTGAGTAGAACATGAGTATAAAAAGAAATAAAGTCAGAACCTCAGGTTCACTGCTGTCCCAGTCCATGTGTTTTCTGTATCTCTCTTCTCTTTTTTTCCTTTAAACAATTTTCCCAAATTAGTCTCTTTCATCTTATTTTTTTAATATACTTGGTGCTCTCTCTTGTCCCTTTATACATTTTATAAAGAAGTTCCTAATACCCCAAATGTTTGAATCTATGTCCCTCCTCTTCACCAAAATCATTTTCACTTTCTTCAACTTCCTCCCCATCACCATCTTCAATCTTCATAACTACAACTATCATCAATTCATATTTTAAAATCTTAGTCATAATTAAATATGCTTCTTTCAAACTGAAAGGAGACAAATACTCACATTTATTTTGTGGTTCTTCTTGCCCCATTGTGTGTTAAATCTCTTGTGGTTCAGCGGTGGAGAGAAACAGCAGCCTCAGCAGCCTCTTAATTTTTTTCCCCACAGTTTATTTCTGTGGATAAAGAAATATATTCAGAAATTTTTGAGATTGAACATTAATCTTTCCTATTCTGGTAAGACCAGAAAGCTCTCAATATTAAAGACAGCTCAAAAGAAGAAGTCTTTCCAAACACGGGGGTTTCCTTTGATTCACTCTAGGATGGAGCAAAGAAAAAGGAAATTGAGAAAGCCACACTCAAAAACAAAACCTAAGATCGCTATGCCAGTATGTAATGTAGAATTTCTTGTTTTATTTTTATTTGTTCAAGCAAAAAATGTAGCCATGCCCTAAAAGAATCATAACTTTACCTAATAAAAAGCAGAATAAACATTTCCTCACGTTTCTTTTCCTGGATATTATGTTTTCAAAGGTAGTTGTGTGCTTGAACTAAACTCTGCCCTGGAAATTTCTCTGAACTAAGTTGCATGCAAGATGGTAAAAGGTAATGTGAGCAATGAGCAAAAGTTTTTAATCTGCACAGCGTATGTATGTAAAGACAAAAACTTTTGTTGTAGAGTTGAGAAAAATGTGGTGGAGCTGTTGATTAAATTCCCAAGTATTCCAATGAGAGAAATTAAGCTTCTTTGCCCTAGGGCAAAGAAGAGGAAATGAGAAATTCTGTGGTAAAGAACACAATCTTCAACACAGGTGAAATGTACTAAACTTGGTTAACTTGCAAAGACTCCAAAACCAAGCTTAAATAATTTCTGTTGTTGTTTGGTCGCTCAGTCTCATCCGACTCTTTGCGACGCCGTAGACTGCAGCAAGCCAGGCTTCCCTGTCCTTCACTATCTTCCAGAGTTTGCTAAAATTCATGTCCAGTGAGTTGGTGATGCCATCCAATTATCTCATCCTCTGTCATCCCCTTCTCCTCCTGCCTTTAATCTTTCCCAGCATCAGGGTCTTTTCTAAGGAGTCAGCTTTTGCATCAAGTCGTCAAAGTACTGGAGCTTCAGCTTCAGCATCAGTCTTTCCAATGAATATTCAGGATTGATTTCCTTTAGGATTGACTGTTTGATCTCCTTGCAGTCCAATGGACTCTCAAGGGTCTTCTCCAAAAAGGCAATATCTTTAACAAGTGGTGCATGGAAAGCTGGTCAACCACTAGTAAAAGAATGAAACTAGAACACTTTCTAACACCATACACAAAAATAAACACAAAATGGATCAAAGATCTAAACATAAGACCAGAAACTATAAAACTCCTAGAGAAAAACATAGGCAAAACACTCTCTGACATAAATCACAGCAGGATCCTCTATGATCCACCTCCCAGAGTAATGCATATAAAAGCAAAAATAAACAAATGGGACCTAATGAAACTTAAAAGCTTTTGCACAATGAAGGAAATTATAAGCAAGGTGAAAAGACGGCCTTCAGATTGGGAGAAAATAATAGCAAATGAAGCAACAGACAAAGGATTAATCTCTAAAATATACAAGCAGCTCCTGCAGCTCAATTCCAGAAAAATAAATGACCCAATCAAAAAATGGGCCAAAGATCTAAACAGATATGTCTTCAAAGAAGACATACAGATGGCTAACAAACACATGAAAAGATGCTCAACATCACTCATTATCAGAGAAATGTAAATCAAAACCACAATGAGGTACCATTACACACCAGTCAGGATGGCTGCTGTCCAAAAGTCTACAAGCAATAAATGCTGGAGAGGGTGTGGAGAAAAGGGAACCCTCGTACACTGTTGGTGGGAATGCAAACTAGTACAGCCGCTATGGCAAACAGTTTGGAGATTCCTTAAGAAACTGGAAATAGAACTGCCATATGACCAAGCAATCCCACTCCTGGGCATACACACTGAGGAAACCAGATCTGAAAGAGACACGTGCACCCCAATGTTCATTTGCAACACTGTTTATAATAGCCAGGACATGGAAGTAACCTCGATGTCCACAGGCAGATGAATGGATGAGGAAGCTGTGGTACATATACACCATGGAATATTACTCAGCCATTAAAAAGAATGAACTTGAATCAGTTCTAACGAAGTGGATGAAACTGGAGCCTGTTATACAGAGTGAAGTAAGTCAGAAAGAAAAACATCAATACAGTATGCTGCTGCTAAGTTGCTTCAGTTGTGTCTGACTCTGTGAGAACCCCACAGAGAGTAGCCCACCAGGCTCCTCTGTCCCTGGGATTCTCCAGGCAAGAATACTGGAGTAGGTTGCCATTTCCTTCTCCAATGCATGCGTGAATGCATGGTAAGTCTCTTCAGCCATGTCCAACTCTGTGCGACCCCATGAACTGTAGCCTACTAGGTTCCTCTATCCATGGGATTTTCCAGGCAAGAGTACTGGAGTGGGTTGCCATTTCCTTCTCCACCAATACAGTATACTAATGCATATATATGGAATTTAGAAAGACGGTAATGATGACCCTATGTGCGAGATAGCAGAAGAGACACAGATGTAAAGAACAGTCTTTTGGACTCTGTGGGAGAAGGCGAGGGTGGGATGATTTGAGAGAATAGCACTGAAACAAAATTATCATATGTGAAACAGATCGCCAGCCCAGGTTCGATGCATGAGGCAAGGTGCTCAGGGCCGGTGCACGGGGAAGATCCTGAGGGATGGGATGGGGAGGGAGGTGGGAGGGGGTTCAGGATGGGGAATATATGTCGCCCATGGCTGATTCATGTCAATGTATGGCAAAAACCACTACAATATTCTAAAGTAATTAGCCCCAATTAAAATAAATTAATTAATTTTTTTAAAAAAGTCTTCACCAACACCACAGCTCAAAAGCATCAATTCTTCAGCCCTCAGCCTTCTTTATGGGCCAACTCTCACACCCATACATGACTACTGGAAAAACCATAGCTTTGACTCGATACACCTTTGTTGGCAGAGTAATGTCTCCACTTTGGTGGCTGCACAGCACTGGAGTAACCATGAAGAGATACCCCACGTCCAAAGTAAGAGAAACCCAAGTAAGACAGTAGGTGCTGACAGAGGGCAGACAGACTGAAACCAGAATAACAGAAAACTAGCCGATCTGATCACACAGACCACAGCTTGTCTAACTCAGTGAAACTAAGCCATGCCATGTGGGGCCACCCAAGACGGTCGGGTCATGGAGGAGAGGTCTGACAGAATGTGGTCCACTGGAGAAGAGAATGGCAATCCACTTCAGTATTCTTGCCTTGAGAACCCCATGAACACAGTGAAAAGGCAAAAAGATAGGACACTGAAAGATGAACGCCCCAGGTTGGTAGGTGCCCAATATGCTACTGGAGATTAGTGGAGAAATAACTCCAGAAAGAATAAAGGGACGGAACCAAAGAAAAAACAACACACAGTTGTGGATGTGACTGGTGATAGAAGCAAGGTCCAATGCTGTAAAGAGCAATAATGCATAGGAACCTGGAATGTTAGGTCCATGAATCAAGCCAATTGGAAGTGGTCACACAGGAGATGGCAAGAGTGAACGTCAACATTCTAGGAATCAGCAAACTCTGATGGACTGGAATGGGTGGATTTAACTCAGATGACCATTATATCTACTACTGTGGGCAAGAATCCCTTAGAAGAAATGGAGTAGCCATCCTAGTCAACAAAAGAGTCCCAAATGCAGTACTTGGATTCAACCTCAAAAATGACAGAATGATCTCTGTTCATTTCTAAGGCAAATCATTCAATATCACTGTAATCCAAGTCTATGCCCCATCCAGTAATGCTGAAGAAGCTGAAGTTGAATAGTTCTATGAAGATCTACAAGACCGTCTAGAACTAACACCCCAAAAAGATGTTATTTTCATTATAGGGGACAGGAATGCAAAAGTAGGAAGTCAAGAAACACCTGGAGTAACAGGTAAATTTGGCCTTGGAGTAAGGAACGAAGCAGGGCAAAGGTTAATAGAGTTTTGCAAAGAGAACACACAGGTCATAGCAAAAACCCTCTTTCAACAACACAAGAGAAGACTCTACACATGGACACCACTAAATGGTCAACACCAAAATCAGATTGATTTTATTCTTTGCAACCAAGGATGGAGAAGCTCTATATAGAGTCAGCAAAAACAAGACCAGAAGCTGACTGTGGCTAAGATCATGAACTCCTTAGTGCCAAATTCAGACTTAAATTGTTGAAACTGGGGAAAACCACTAGACCATTCAGGTATGACCTAAATCAAATCCCTTATGACCATACAGTGGAAGTGAGAAATAGATCTGATAGACAGAGTGCCTGATGAACTATGGACGGAGGTTCGTGACATTGGACAGGAGACAGAGATCAAGACCATCCCCAAGAAAAAGAAATGCAAAAAGCAAAATGGCTGTCTGAGGAGGCCTTACAAATAGCTGTTAAAAGAAGAGAAGCGAAAAGCAAAGGAGAAAAGGAAAGATATACCCATTTGAATGCAGAGTTCCAAAGAATAGCAAGGAGAGAAAAGAAAGCCTTCCTCAGCGATCATTGCAAAGAAATAGAGGAAAAGAATAGAAAGGGAAAGACTAGAGATCTCTTCAAGAAAATTAGAGATACCAATAGAACATTTCATGCAAAGATGGGCTCAATAAAAGACAGAAATTGTATGGACCTAACAGAAGCAGAAGATATTAAGAAGAGGTGGCAAGAANACTTATATGCAGAGTACATCATGAGAAACGCTGGGCTGGATGAAGCACAAGCTGGAATCAAGATTGCTGGGAGAAATATCAATAACCTCAGATATGCAGATGACACCACCCCTATGGCAGAAAGTGAAGATTAACTAAAGAGCCTCTTGATGAAAGTGGAAGAGGAGAGTGAAAAACCTGGCTTAAAGCTCAACATTCAGAAAACTAAGATCATGGTATCTGGTCCCATCAGTTCAGTTCAGTTCAGTCACTCAGTCATGTCTGACACTTTGCGACCCCATGAACTGCAGCATGCCAGGCTTCCCTGTCCATCACCAACTCCCGGAGTTCACCCAAACTCATGTCTATTGAGTCAGTGATGCCATCTAACCATCTCATCTTCTGTCGTCCCCTTCTCCTCCTACTTTCAATCTTTCCCAACATCACGGTCTTTTCCAATGAGTCAGCTTTTCGCATCGTGTGGTTAAAATACTGGAGTTTCAGTTTTAACATCAGTCCTTCCAATGAACACCCAGGACCAATTTC